GTGGAGAAGGCCTTGGCCCGGCCTTGAGCTGTTGGCAACCTCAGAATGGTGGAAATGATTTTGCTATAAGAAGCAAGGATCGTCATGAAAGGGACAGCAAGAAACAACATCGCCACCACATAGACAGACACCTCATGTGCAGAAGTGTCCCCGCAGGCCAGTTTGAGAATGGGGGGTATGTCACAGAAGAAGTGGGCGATTTGGTTGGACTTACAGAAATGCAGAGAGAAGATCTGGCACGTTTGCCCTATCTGGACAGGAAGTGGACCCAGCCAGGAGGCAGCTGCCAGCTGAGCACACTTCTTTGAGTTCATGAGCAGAGGATAGCCCAGAGGGAGACAGATGGCCACATAGCGGTCATAGGACATCACGGCCAGCAGGAAGCACTCAGTGGTTGCCAGCATAAGAAAGAAACATAGCTGTGTGGCACAGCCCAGCACAGAAATGTTTCTCTTTTGAGTCCAAAGGTCAAAGAGAATCCTAGGGAGAGTGACTGAAACATAGCAGATTTCCAAAGAAGAAAAATTTGCCAGGAAAAAGTACATGGGTCTCTGTAGCGCAGGGTCGAGGATTGTTACGGTGATGATGAGGCTGTTTCCAATTAGCACGACCAAGTAAATGATGCTGAACACCCCAGACAGAAAGCCCTGGAGCTCTGGAAGGTCCGCAAACCCCAGCAGGACAAAGTGCCTCACCGTGGAAACATTGCCTCCTGCACTTAACCCTTCAGGTGTCATCTGTGGGAAGAATTCAGACAGAAGTTGAAGTTATTTCCCTCTGGTTAGCTTTTGTTTGTTTACATATAAAACAAAGATGTTTTTCCCAATTTCTCAATTCTCTGTAAGATCAAAACATATGACTTTTAGGACTATGAATATTTTTTGAAAGATCCTTTTTCTTTCCATCTATATTCATAAGTAAATTTTTATGTACTTTTCTCCTTTTTTTCACATATGCTTGTTTTTGAAAAGGAGTATTTCTCTTGACATTTTCACAGGAATACTAAAAAATGCAAAGGTTTAATTTTGCTCAGTTACAGTAATAATTCCATTCTATTTGTTGTTCTTGTCAATGTCTATCTTGTGATCTTAATTAAAAATTGATCCCACTGCACAGTAATATTTTGAGATATTTAAAGTAATTTCAGGAAGTACATATTTATAATTTTCAAGTGATGTGCGATGAGGCAATCCCACTTTTTAGCTTTGATATTCAGAATTTATTATTTTAAAAGTTATTGACTGACTTCCCAATATTATAATATGATGTATGATCTTTAAAGTTTTTCACTACAGTGTAAAAATCTATGAAATCCTAAGACATTCATTTCTATTAGTCTTTACAGTCAAGTGATTTTGGGATTGTTGCTAAAGAACTGGAATGGTATGAAGTAATTAAGATTGTTTTCCTCCCCACAGAATGTCAAGAGTAAAGAAGCAGTCTCTTTATTCAAAAAAACAGTGGTAAAATACAAGTTGCAGAAGTTTGCTCTGAACAAAGCCTATTTATAAAACAGACATCAGCCCCATTTCATCTCTGTGATTTGTTTCTGAAATCATCCACATTCTCACTAACATCCTCGCCGCTGCTCTCTATAGCGCTCATTTATTCATTCAGTCTGGCCCATCTCATGTGTCTGTGTAAGTTCCCACATGAGCACGTTGCCCTGTGATTATGTATTTATGCTTT